ATATATATATATATATATATATATATATATATATATATATATATATATATATATATAAACACTATTATTTGTGAAGGATAATAATAACACAAAAGTGTTTTTCTGAAAGGAAAGAAACGGCAATTGACAATTCAGGTTAACTATCACTGATTCTCTATTTCGATGACTTGATTCTTGACAATTATCTCTCTCTCTCTCTCTCTTTCTCTCTCTCTCTCGTATTAGAAGATTGTCTCTCTGTATTCTCTATTTCATACTCTCTGGTCTCTCTACACTTCTTCTGATGGTTGTACCTCTCATGCCATCCAGTGGTCATCAGTCAAATGAAAAAAGTGTACTTTCTTTACAGACACACACGCACACAGGTGTGTGTCTGTAAAGACATACACATTTATATATGGTGACGTCATGTCCTACTCGTTCGTTACGTGGAGGGCAGGGGGTGATCAGATTTATTTTTATTTCCTCTCTGGGCAAAGGATAGAACGTTGGCCATACTCCTGCGAAAGTCACAATTCAGACATATGGGAAAATCCAGGTTGAGTGTCTGACAACAAACGTTTATTCTTCTGAAACGAAAACGACAATAATGCAACAAGCGAGCAAGCAATGCTCGACTAAACGAACGCAGCCTCCGCGCGGCCTCGAGTGCGGTCGCTGGTCGAGAGGGGCTGCCAAGGGCGCGTCAGGGTGTTACGGTGACACATGGCCAGCGATGTCCTCCTCGCCACGGGCTTGCAGCTCCTGGGCGAACGCTTGCAACGCCTCGACGGCTTTGCCGAGGACGCGTCGCTGTGACGCGACGTCACGGCAAGCCGAGTGGGCGTGGCAACTTCTCGCCTCGGTCATGCAGCGGCTGGGCGAGCGCGGGGAACGCTTCGGCGGTTTTGCCGGAGCGCGTCTACGTGACAGGGCTTCAAACAGTTAGGGCGCGGCGTACTCCATGGGCGCCCTACAACCTGGCGACGTGGGAAGCGCCTCGACGGCCTTGCCGGGGCGCGTCGCTTGACGCGGCGTCTCAGCCACAACAGCCTTCCTCTGTACCGCCCACCAGCTCACAAGTCGACAGTCTCTTTCCACTCTCCCAATCTGACTGACCCCTCTTGTGCCATCCGACTCCTCGCTTCCTCCCTCCATAGCCCCTCCTCGCACGGCCCCTAGCTGCCTGCCGCCGCACTTCCCCACTACGTTGCCCCGCCTTCCCTCCCCCCGGCGTTCCAGCGCTGGCATATCGGGGTGCCGGAGGGCGTGATGTCTCAATATATACTGTGCTTGATTTATAAAATTTTAGATTCCGGAACGCTCCCCAAATTAATTAATAATATAGAAGAGGGAAAAATATATCATGGGTTTAAAATGTCGTATAGTGTTTTTTAAAGTCTAGTAACGTCAAAACCAATATCAATGCATCCTAATAACGAATAAAGAAATCAGATACAGCAGTGCAGTAAAATTGTGGGTCGTTAATAGTGATGGCGCGCGGCGCAATTTTAGCCGATTGCAGTGAAATATTTAAATTGTGCGTAACAAAGTTCTTACAGTAAAGATTTCAAGTTTTGATCTTATCTCAATTAAAAGTATTTTGAATACAAATTTACGAAACTATGGTCTTTTGAAAAGTGTCCATTTATATAGTTTTAACGTAAAGTTGGCTATATTCGAGCTTATGTGGCACACTGTTTGAGTCAAATACGTAATGTTTGATGATTATAAACGGGTTGCAGGGTAACGTGGGCACCATCTCAGCCAAAACTCCGTTGATAAAAATGACTTTAAATAATATTTATTCGTGATTTTCTAAAAAGTAGGGAAAAGGCCGAAAAATTGGGTGTTTATTGAGTTTTGGCACCGCTAAACCCATTTTAAACAGTTTTAGTGGTGCCGCTGTTGTTTTTCTATCGAAAAATAACTTTTTTACTAAGCGATTTTTTCTGTTTTTTTTCGATTCGGCCTTATATATATATATATATATATATATATATATATATATATATAAACACAAAACTCATATGTGAATTGGAAAAGCGACCGCATGTGTGAACCCGTTTGATTTGCCACGCAAAGTAGGGCGTGTTGTACTGATTGGATGGAGAGGGATGGTAGTCCTTTCATTTTACGTAAGAACATGTGCACCAAACAAACGATTTGTAAAATGGATTTACGTTTGCCTCAAATTTCATAAATACCGCATTTTTTCGTCTTTTTGCTTTCGCGCCCTTACATAAATATTTTGAAGAAGAGACAGCACGTGCGCCAGAAAACGGGGAATTTTTGGCAGAAAAATTCTTATTTCCGGGCCCTCTTAACGAAAAAGCGGATAAATGCCGTTGCTAAATATAGAAAACAATCTCCAACACATGTGTATTGTGCTCCATGTTTTTGGGTCCTTGATACCGAAAAATCCATTGGCGGGATAAACATCTGTGACTATCTGGTCGTCTGCCCGTCTATGCTTAACACTACCGCGTAAACCGTTTGGCTGATTTTCTCCCGAAGTAATCTTCTCCGTTCGATCTGAACGAATGAGAGGCTGTGGGAGTTTCAAACGGATATTTTGATTTTTGAGTTTTTTACATGAAGCGAGCTTTTTTGTTTTTATGTGACTCCGAGTTCGACCACACGGCTTTTTTGTGGCGAAGCGACGGCAAGTTAACTCTGAGGATCTAAGTTCGGATCTAGAAGTGGAAAAGTATGGTGGTTGAGAACACTTTTGGAGGTTTATATAGTAGTATAATACAGCGAAGCAGTTAGAAATAATGCGAGAAAGTATGTGCTTTTGTTCAATCGAAAAAAGTTAGTTTTCGATACAAGAACAACATCGGCTCCGATAAAACTGTTTTAAAAATCAGTTCAGGGGTGTCACAAACCCCATAAACACCAACCTTTTTTCAGCCTTATTCGCTATTTTTAGAAAATAACGAATAAGTATTAGTTAATGGAATTTTTATCAATGGATTTTTAGTTGAGGTGGTGCCCACGTAATTTCGCAACAATTTTATGGTCATCAAACATTACTTATTTAACTCAAACAGTGTGCCACATTAGTCCAAATATGCCAAATTTATCGTTAGAAGCAAATAAATAGGCTATTTTCAAATGGCCACGGATCCGTAAATTTGTATTCAAGATACATTTAATTTAGATACGATTGAAGCATGAAATCTCTACTTTAAGAGGCTCAATTCGAACGAAGTAACGTTTTCACTGCAATGGGGTAAAATTGCGCCGCGCGATATCGCTGTTAACGACCACGTTTGAGCCGCACTGCTGTGTCTAATACCTATTCACCTATTCACTCTTATTCACTGTTAGGCTGCGTTGAACATATTTGTGGAGACAACAAACGGGTTTGGAAGTTACTGGACTTTAAAGAACACTATATGGTATTGGGATGCCCATGAGCTATTTTTCCTTCTTAGCTTCGGTGCGTACAACAATGTCCACATGATCGCGCCCTACGGCCTGCCC